AAACTATAAATTTTATTGTAGGTGATAAGAAATAAATGAACATATATGCCATGTTCACAGATGGGAAGACTCTATGTCATAAAGATATCAGTTTTTTCCAAATTGATTTATAAGTTCAGCGCAATTCTAGTCAAAATCCTAGCCAAGTTTTTCATGAAATTTAACAAAATTCTTACGTGGAAAGAGCCAAAATGGCCAAGGCAATTTTGAAGAGGAAGAGGATGTAGTGATAAGATGGGGACTTATTTATGCAATAGCAAGGCTTTTAAAATAAAACTTTAGTAGAAAAGCAGTGTAACATCGGCATAGGAGTAGACAAGTATGGCAGTGTAACAGCCCAGAATGCTTGAGAAATGATGTACATATAATGAGAACTTGGTGTTATTATATCAGTGATTATATTGATTACTCAATAAATTGTGCTGGAAAATTTTATATGAAAAAACCAATTAACTTCTTAATTCTATATCTAGGACTCTTCTTGGCGTTTCAGACTCCTGCTCAAACAGTATGTCCCAGGCTGAACTGATTGTAACTCATCAGACTGCTCCTTTTGTACTCTCTCTATCACTAGCAAAGAATTTGACAACTAGTATTCATCCTTCTGCCTTCTTTATCCCCCACATCCAAGTAATAAAAAGTTTTGTAGATCTTTTGTCTTCTAAGCATTTCCTTGAGTTCTCCCCTTCCTGTTAATTCCTACCACTGCTGTTCTGGTTCTGACCTGGGCTGCGGCAGCAGCTCAGCCCCATACTTCTGTCTCTCAGTATGTCTCTTCCACATAGGCTTCAGAGTGAGCTATCTAAAAACCTCTAATTGGTCCATGTCCTGGCTCTACTAAAAATATTCCACAGTACTCCATTACCCCAGGATAATGTTCAAGCTCCTTTACATGTTTTACAAAAATGATGCGTATCTTAGCCCCTTCTCCCGTCTTACATCCTGTCTCTCCCTCTGTACTGTGGTGGTGTTGCTCTGTTGCTTTTACCACCCCTGCCCATCTGCCTTGGAATACCATCTCTCTCTTTGCTCTGCTAACTTGTATTTGTCCTTTAAAACTCTGCTCAATGTTCTTTACATATTCCTGGTACATGTTCTTTATCCAGATATATGATTTGCAAATGTTAGTGTGTGGTTTGCATTTTCAGTTTCTTTAACAGTGTCTTTGGATGAGCAGAAGTTTTAAATTTCAAAGTTAAATTTATCAGTTCTTCCATGTATTGTACTTTTGGTGTCGCATCTAAGATGTTGTTACCTCGCTCAAGGTCACAAAGACTTTCTTTGTTTTCTTAGAAGCTTTATAATTTCAGATTTTATATTTAGCTCTATGATCCATTGTGAGTTTTTATGTATGGGGTGAAGTATGATCAAAATTAAGTATCTGGTTGTTCCACACCATTTGTTAAACACTATGCTTTCTCCACTTAATTGCTTCTACACCTTTGTCAAAAATTTACTGACTATATATGTATATTTCTGAATTCTTCATTATGTTCTATTGATGTATTTTTCTTTCTTTATGCTTATCTTACTCTTATTATGAAAATAAACATCCAGTTAAAAAGTGGGCAAAAGATTAGAATAAGCACTTACCAAAGAAGATACATGAATGGTAAATAAGCATTTAAAATACACAGCATCATTAGACATTAGGGAAATGCTAATTAAAACCACAATGAGATATCACTACACAGCTTTAATGGCTAAAATTTAAAAGACTGATGATACCAAGGGGCAAGGCTGAAGTGGAGCTAGAACTGTCATATACTGTTGTGAGAACTTAAAAGGGTACATACATTTTGGAGAAAAGTTTGGCAGTTTCTTAAAATTTTAAACATATACCTACTTTGAACCAGCTGTTTCACTCCTAAGTGTCCAACAGGTGACTGGTTAAACAAACAATGATGTCAACACATGGGATACTATTTGGCAATAAAAAAGGAATGAAGTATTGATGTATAGGACAGTAGATGAATCTCAAAATAATTTTGCTGAGTGAAAAGTTAGATGAAACAGCACATTCTATATGATTCTATTTATATAAAATGTTGAAAACTGAACTAATATATAATAATGGAAAACAGATTAATGGCTACAGGAGCAACTTGTTAATGGTAAGGGAAGTAACAGTAATGGTTGATGGTAAGGGAGGCAGGGAGAGACAGAAGAAAGGGATTACCAAAAGAAAGGAGGGCTGACGGACGTGTTTATATCTTGATTTTTGGCAATGTTTTCACAGGGGTAAACTTATATCAAAACTTACTAAATTTCATCCTTTATATATGTGTAGTTTAATGTATGTCAATTATGCCTCAACAAAACTTAAGAAAAAAATAACAATTCTGCACAACTATTACCAATTTCTTGATTCTATGTGAGGTAGATGCTTACTTAATGCCTACCTCATACTTCTATTACTTAGCAGGTTTTAAAAGTAATTTTTTAATATTTATCCAGCTAGTAGACTGAATTCTCTGAGGATGTGTAATTTATCTTTATACCTTGAGGATCTAGATCACAGGTGTTGAAAAAGTTTCAGAGTTGAAAATGACAACAAACCTAACATTTATTGACTGCTCATTGTGTGCTAGGCACAGTTCCAAGCATGCTAGTGTCTCATTTAATTCTCACAATATGCTGTGCATTGGCTTATATCATCCCAGTTTACTGTTGCAGAAGTAGAGGCTCAGAGAATTTAAGTAGTTTGGCTGCACAAGGACTCAAGCCCAGGAAATTCTAACTCCACTACTCTCCACTGCATATGCTGAAAGTAGTGGCCTACCTTGTTCTAAATGTTACAGTCTTTTAGGATAGAAAGTAATGGAGACACTTTTCAGATAATTTGGAAACTAGAGAAAATTTGTCATCGGTAATCTTGCCAGCGATGTTAGTAGTTTACCTACATGTGGCGTATTCCTTCTGAGTGATTCTCTTTTGGTCAGTTATATAATTTACATAGTAAACATCATTTTATGTGGTTTTAATTTAACTTGATTATTCTTTTCTTAATATTATATCGTAACATTTTACATGTTGACACATCATTGTCATAAGAGTAAATTTTAATGGCTGTGGAATGTTCTCTTGCATGACTGAACTAAATCATGTTTTATTATTTCCTTACCTTGGAATATTTTGTTAGGTTCTAATTTTTTTCACTTTTGTAAATAAGGGTGCATTGATCATGTGACTTCATATTTCATTAATGTTTTGGATTATTTTCTGAGAACAGATTTCATATTTGATATTAAAAGTACGCAGAGAGAGAGAGTTCAGTACTTTGAGTGTTTTAATCTGGGGCATTTATAAGTGTGGTGGTTATTTAAAATTACTTCGTAAAAGTATTAAAGGAACTTTTAACTGGCAACCATTGGTTATACCTTTATTTTGATAATTAAAGATATGAATGTAAATTAGTCAAATATTTTAGTGAGATCATCATAGGGCATGGGGTCTCATCAGGGTGAAACTTAAGAAACGGCAACTATATACACAACAATTTTAGATAAAAATACAGTACAAAAAACTATATTTAAAAGTTTATGAAATTGAGTCTGAATTCTTGGGAAAGTTATGTCTTTATCCTTCCTTGCTAGGTCATTTAGGGACATATAAAAGGCTGAGAGCAATAGCAGGGAACCTTGGAAGGAGAAAAGCTTTATACAAAATGTTTAAAGCAGCTCAGATCACAAAGGAATAAAGGAATATGACTTTTTTTGGTGTGACTTTATATTCGTTTGCAGTCTCTGTTAATTGCCATGTGACAATGACCTAGTAACAGTGCTCTTGCAAATATGAGCTTGGATTAATAAGTGGGACAGAGATGACAACCTGCACAGGGAGAAAGAGAAAGCAAAGGTGTAGCATAGAATTACTTTCACTAAGAAGATACATTTAAGTAAAAATCTTTATATGCTTTGCCTTAAATACAGATGACTGGATAAAGAAGATGAGGTGTACATATTACAATGGGATATTACTCAGCCAATAGGTTTTTTAAAATGCACAACAGTGTGGTGCATTAACACATCCTGCGATCTTTCAACTTTTAAATTCAATGGAAAATGTATATTTGAGTTATTTGTTCTAGATGCTAAAGGACCTATAAGGCTATGCAAGTTAGTTCTTCAAATTTATAATTCATGGAGGGCAATTGCCAAAATAACCACAACTTTGGAGGGAGTACAGGGTACTGATTAGGGGCATCAGAAAAGTTCTCATTGAGGAGGTGGTACTTGAAGTGACCCTTCACACATTGGTGGGGTTCTTTGAGACAGAGGGCTTTATAGAGATTACTAGAAATAATAGTAATAAAAGTTTACAGGCAGAAAAGCATCTGTCTAAATAATTAACTGATTAGTGTGGCCATCTTTGTGGTGAGTTCATGGTGCTGGGTTGTCATTTTAACAAACGATGTGCAAAGCAAATAGCACAACCTGAATCTGGTTATAAAACGAGTTCATGGGATTTGACTTTATACTAGAACTATATGTAGTAAGTTAGTTAGTTTTATCTAACTGCAGCTCTGATTCTTGACTGCTAAACTGCTTTGTAAAGATTCCCGAGTTTTTAATTGAATTTTAATTGACAAGTTTAAAATTGGACTTGTGTCTCATAAATAAATGCTTTGGGGAAAATGAGAACTTTATATTGATTACTTCTGATATTCAAATATATTAAGACATTCTCAGTTTTTTTTTAAAACATTTATTGAAGTGTAGTTGATTTACGGTGTTTCTCAGTTTTAATCTTGGGACAGAATGATGCATTTTATTGTATTGTTTTAATACTACTCTATATGTTCTTTTGATCATAAGACTTAAAATAAGGTTCAATTAATCAGTTAGTCTTTGTAAAAAAATCATTTTTAAGAAGGCTTGAAAGATTTATGTTATAAAACTTTAAAAAATAATTGCCTAGTTCTTCTTCTCTTACATAGATATCCTAGGAGCTCAAGAGAAGAGATTACATGTGCTGAAATCATTTCTCTCTGTCTTTAGGAAATGGAGTTATTTTTCCCTTCAAGTGGAGTTTGTGGGCCAGCAAACACTGCTAAATTTACTAACTGTACTTGTTGCATTGTGAAGCCCCATGCTGTCAGTGAAGGTAAGTGCTGTGTTGAATACAATATAGCCAATACATTTTGCTAATAGCTTATTTTGTTAATGTTTATTTTCTTGATAGGTTTTATATGTAGAAATTAAAAAGTATAATTTTAATATTTTCACTTTTTTTTTGAAGGCACCTGAATAAAGGTAATATAACATGAGGGCAGAATCTGTCTAAATCTACATTTATTTTTCTCTGTCTTTGTATTTGTGCACTTTAAAAAGGCGTTCCCTGTGTTACTGATCATGGTCATGATAGTCCTGTTACAGGTCTTGGTTCCTTGACTTTTAATCTGCCTTCTTTCCTCCCAGCCACATAACTGTGATGCACTTAATTCACTTAAAGGGAACTCCTAATGTACAATTTAAAACAGTGTCTACCATATCAGCAGTATATCCTTCCTGTGAAATTAAAGAAACTTTTTTGTTCTCAGTATCTGAAACAAAGTTCTTTGACTAATACATATGTGTATATGTGTGTATACATACAGTGAGGGTTTGTAAGTTCTTTCTTAACTTTATTTTTCTTCACCTGTTTGGTTTAGTCTGCTCCATGTATTTTGTCAGCCATTTCAAACCCTTTTGGAAATGAGATGAGGTATAATTTAAAAGATCATCCTTAAAAAACTAGAATGTACTAACTAATGAACATAATTGAATGGATTGTTTTTTGGTTTATATTCTTTTTCATTATAAGTTTCTACAAGATACTGAATATAATTCACTGTGCTGTACAGAAGAAACTTGTTCATCTATTTTATATATAGTAGTTAGTATCTGTAAATCTTGAGCTACCAATTTATCCCTTCCTACCCTCTTTCCCCCCAGTAGCCATAAGTTTGTTTTCTGTTGAGTCTGTGTCTGTTTTGTAGATAAGTTCATTTGTCTTTTTTTTTCCTTTCTTTCTTTCCCGATTCCACATATGAGTGGTATCATATGGTATTTTTCTTTCTCTTACTGGCTTACTTCCCTTAGAATGATGATCTCCAGGTCCATCCATGGTGCTGCAAATGGCAATATTTCATTCTTTTTTATGGCTGAGTAGTATTCCATTGTATAAATATACCACAACTGCTTTATCCAGTCATCTGCTGTTGGACATTTAGATTCTTTCTATGTCCTGGCTATTGTAAATAATGCTGCTATGAACATTGGGGTGCATGTATCTTTTTGAATTAGAGTTCCTTCTGGATATATGCCCAGGAGTAGGATTGCTGGATCATATGGTAACTCTGTTTAGTCTTTTGAGGGATCTCCATACAGTTTTCTATAGTGGTTGCACCAAACTAAATTCCCACCAACAGTGTAGAAGGGTTCCGTTTTCTCCACACCCTCTCCAGCATTTATCATTTGTTGACTTTTGAATGATGGCCATTCTGGTTGGTGTGAGGTAATACCTCATTGTAGTTTTGATTTGCATTTCTCTGATAATTAGCGATATTGAGTGTTTTCTCATGTGCTTGTTGGCCATTTGTATGTGTTCACTGGAGAATTGCTTGTTTAGGTCTTCTGCCTATTTTTGGATTAGGTTGGTTGTTGTTGTTGTTATTAAGCTGTATGAGCTTTTTATATATTCTGGAAATTAAGCCCTTGTCAGTAGCGTCATTTGCAAATATTTTCTCCCATTCTGTAGGTGGTTATTTTGTTTTGCTTATGGTTTCCTTTGCTGTGCAAAAGCTAAAAGTTTAATTAGATCCCATTTGTTTATTTTTGCTTTTATTTCTGTTGTCTGGGTAGATTGTCCTAGGAGAACATTGCTAAAATTTATGTCAGAAAAGTGTTGGGAAAACTGGACAGCAGCATGTAAATCAATGAAGTTAGAACACTCCCTCACACCATGCACAAAAATAAATTCAAAATGTCTTAAAGAATTAAACATAAGATAAGACACTATAAACCTCCTAGTTGAATGGATTTTTTAAAATTTCATTTTTTCTAAATATTGAAGTAATTCAGGTATATAGTAGAAAATATGGAAAATTAAAAAAAAAAACATGAAACAGTAAAAGTTACCTGTTTTCCTATCATCCTGAGATAATCATTGTTAATATTTTGATATTTTCTCTAAATCCTTTTCTCTTGTATATGTGTATATATATATGTGTATAACTGACATGAATGTAATTATTAACATGGTTGAGATGTAGGTCTATAGGCTGTTTTAATTAAATTTGGGGGAGCATTTTGGATGATAGATATAATATAATTGAAGATTTACGTTGTTTCCATTTTTTTGATGTTAAAAATAAAGCTTTGAAGAATATCTTTGTATGTAAGTATCTGACTATATCACTAATTATTTCCTCTCGCTAGTTTCCTAGAAGTAGACCTATTTGTTGAAAAGGATATGAACCTTAAAGATCTTGTTGCATAATTAATACTTCTTTTAATTATTTAGGTAGGACTTTAATATCTTATTGATCCTTAGGACCATAATTATAGGGAACTAACATGCATTATAGGTAACAAACATTTATTAAGAACTTAGTCACCATGTGCCTGGTATTAGACTGAGTACCATATCCATTATTTTCTTTAATCTTCACAGCAATTATGGCAAGTAGGTGGGTATATCATTGTTTTGTAGATAAGCAAGCTGAGGCTATATGAAAATGTCATTTCCCTCAGTTTAGAGGAGGGAATCCAGGATGTTAAACCCTGGGCTCTCCCTGTGTTCTTTCTCCTGCATATGTGACTCTACAGCAGTAGCAACAAAAACATCACGTGGTTAGTAACACTTACATAGCAAGTAATACTAGTCATATCTAAGATGGCTGCTGGTGTTGACAATCTATGAAAAAAAAATTGAGATTTTATGTTGCACTCATTCTTCTTACCTTGAGGTGGACCCATACACACACATACATAATATACCCACACACATTTTAATGTGATGAGACAAGTTCTTCTTTTTTAAAGGCTTCAACTTAAAAAAAAATTCATTTTGGCATCTAAATACATTCAATTTTATTTTTATCTGATTTAATTTTTTTTCTAAGGAAAAATGATGCATAGAAAGAGACAAATAAAATGAGTTAAAATACTGGTTATATACTTTGATAATTGCATAGATAAATATAACTGAAATCTAATAAAATGATTGAGTGAAAGGTGATGTCAAAACGACTAATGTTTACATGGTTTAAATCATTTTTAGTCATAGCTATTCTTTAAGATTAAAACGTTTTTCATCTATTTATATTTGATACGTAACATTAGAGGCATATGAACTTATTAAAGAACTTTTTGTAACATCCAATCATATGACAGAACACGAACTTTGACATTTCAAGGCTTTTTTCCCTTTTATTTGCTTTTTAAATCTCGATTTTAGGGATACTTTAAGACTATTTTGAAATGTGTAATTAACCCAGTTTAGCTTAGAGTTAAATTGTGGCTACAATGAAATATAGTTTGAAGTCTGTTGAATTTATTATTACATTCACTTGGTCCCCTTTCAATTGCTGGTTTGTTTATCTTTTTCCATAATGATCCCATTTCCTGGCATATTTAATTTCACCTGTGGTCTAGTATAGGCGTGAGAGAAGAGATTAAAAAAAAAAAAAGAGTTGTTAACAGAGCTGTTGAAATAGAATAGGTTCTCTTCTGTTGGCTGCCGACTCCCCCAAAGAAGGCCAGAATGGCTTGTTGATCAAGCAAAACTGAGTTTATTGCTTACTACAGTAGGGAGCTCACACCTTGATGGAGTCTTAATAGACTTCACAATGGAGAGGGTCTGGGCGGATATTGTATAGTTTCAGGTATGACCTTGAGAGAGTTAATGTGGGTCTATCAATGCAGTGATATGATTGAAACTGGCAAAGTTTATGATATTATGGTTTAGGATTAGTAGGAACAGTGAGGCAAGGATTTTAAGCAAGTCTCATAAATAAGCAACTGTTTGATAAGTGAGCTATTTGCCCAGTTGAGGGAATATTATGAAAAGGGAACTGTTTGAATAGTCTATTGTTGGGACAAATGGACTTTTGGGAGGTTCCTGAAGTAAACAGTGAAGTCATTTACTGATTTACAGCTTTATCTTTGTGGGCAATAATTTCTTGGCACAAATGATAGAGTCTCGTGGATGTAGGCGGCCTTCATTCTTAGTCCTGTACTTAATCTATATAGATGCTATAGTTCACCTCTCACTTCTGAGAGAGCTAGGAAAGGAACTTAGTTTGTGGAATAAATGGCGGGGAGAAATCATAGCATATACTTGGGATATTTGCAGTCTTTTTTATATATGTAGATTGAAATATGTTTTATCATTTGGGGACTCAGGTTTTTAAAAGGGAAGAAAAAGTGAATTTTCATTTTTCTTTTTTAATTTTAAAATTATGCAATGTGTTTTGTTTTGCTGTCCTTAGTATTGTTTATATGTAGCTAGTCTAATTCCATTGATTAAAATGAATTATTTTTACTCTGAAATCAGGCTGTGTAGGTTTGAATTCTGGCTCCGCTACTTACTGGCCATGGGATGTTAAATAAATTACTTAACCTCTTTGTATCTTGTTTCTTCATCTATAAAATGAGAATGATATACCTTCTTCACAAGGGAATTTAAGGCTTAAATGCACTTAATGGTTAGATGACGATGTGATTTTTTTAATGATTAAATGTAGGGTTAATGTCCTAAGCACAGTACCCAGCACTTCGTTACTTACTATGTAAGTGTTAGACATTATTACTATTATGATTACTGCTTTAATAGTACTACCACTACTGCTAATATCATTATCTTTTAATTTTTAAATAAAGTTGAATGACTCCTTAGAAACAAAGCAGTAGTTTAAAATACTAACAATCCAACATCCATAATCCAGAGAAAGAAAGAAAATCCCTGTCATTATTTAAGGAACAAAGTACTTTTAATTATTTTTCTTAGTTAAAGTCTGGGTCTATTTAAGCCCATGAAGTTATTACTTACATCGAGTTGATTTAGCACCTATCAGCCATTACCTGTTCTGATTGTCCATTACAGTTGGCACTGGGCGGGAA